TGGCGCTTGTAGAATGGCTAAGAAAATCTTTGATCTTTCGTTAACATATTGACATACGAGACAATTTCTATTTGAAAATAGGATTATGCCATGCTAGCGCTTCAACGTTATCCGTTCACACTTTTACATCAATGACTTCATTGGCAAGTTAAGGGAAAATCTCCTCACACAACTTTCTCGGAATGCTTGACTGCAGCACCTTGCGCACTAAGGCTCAAAAATGCTGGGCAATGAGGATTTCAAATAATGTCAGTAACCATCGAAAAGAGCAAGAAGAAAGCTTTCTAATGGTGTGAATATCACCGCATTATATGTAAAACTTTAAGAGAACTGCGGAACAACTTAGTAATACCATCCCGTGGTTACCCTTCAAAATTTCGACTTCCTTGGACCCTTAGAAGAGCACCCGTGCTATGCTCTCATGTTAGCAGCTATTACAAGAGGTTCTGGGAAACAAAGGATGTCTTAAAGTTCTGTGTTCTTCTGGTTTCTGAAGTAACTGCAAATGCGTGTCGCGAGTCAATGTTCAACCGTTTGCTAGGCATCGTAAATTTTGCAACCATGTTCACTGAATTTCAATGCTTCACATAAATGAATACATTTCAAATCTCAACTTAAGCGGTCACAACAGAGAAAAAATCTGTTGCAGTCTTCATTTTAGCTTTTAGAGTAAGGGCATCGTTCTTGCGCGATCTATTGTTTCAATTAATTATTTCACGTGAAAAAACACTAATGTTATAAGAATTTTAAGAGCTAGCTTTTGAAAATTTTTTAATCGAAACTTACTCATCCAAATATTTTGTACTATTATCCATATTTTAATTTTTCATTTTCCTTTCAGTGAAACAGATGTCGATTTTTCTTCAAAAGCACCCCATGGAGGCCATGATCGAATACCGTCAAGATTTTCAAATGCATTACGAATTCGTAAACTTCGATTGAGAAGGTCAAAGCGAAGCCCCAATCGTCTGATATTGCCAGAAGACCTGAAAGACCATGAATACGTGGTGGGACACTCATTTGTTTTATTGACACAAAAAAAAATTCCTTTTCAGGTAAAATCTGCAGAATTTGCGCCACCGCTCATGGAACCCTCGAAAAGTGCAGTCAATAAAGTAGCTGGTCTCTTTGTCTCGCTTTTTGGCAAGACTAGTGCCAATGAGCTACCAGAGAAATGGTCTACTACTTACAAGAGCATTTTGAAGCTGTCTAAGTACATAGAAAAGAATGAGAATTCTCCTGGAACTCGTGTTTATAACACTCGAATTTATGATCTTGTCATAGACGGCAAAGGGACACAGCAGAGCAGTGAGGTGAGGAAGAGAGGCATTACTTATATTAGCGAATTAGCATTATTAAAGCAAACAGAGTAGCCTAGCTTCCTTGTTCCACTTGCGCGGCGATTCAGAGGCATCAAAGCCGCGTAGCGCACGTAAGGTTATCTAGGTTGTTTCTTTGTTGTTGTTTTCTTTGTTGTGTGTTTCTTGTTGTTGTTTTTTCTAGGTCGTTTCTTCGTCTTGTCTCGTAAGGTTGTCTGCGTCAGCGACTCAAATTTAGTCTATCAAATCCGTTCACTGCCAAATCTTTCTTTCAAGTGCATAGATTGCATACAACCCTGCAATTTCAAAGGACTTGCCTTTTTCAAAACTTTATCTCTCTGCAGAGTTTGTTTGTTTTGAGGAAAGCAAAAGGGTCTGCTTCAGTGATGCTTAGAGCTTCGAGGAAGTTCTGCTGATCGAATACCTTTAGGAATATGATTATCCTAAACTTCTTTTTCGTCATTTTTCTCTAAATAGAGCCTATGTCATAAAAGACACAGTATGTAACATGTAAGCAAAAAATTCTTTATTAAAACATTTGTAAACATTTGTTTAGAGGAATTTGTATGGAACATTCTTGTACTTTCTAGTCTTGGGATTATGGCGTCCATCTTACGAAGCGATTTAAGTTTATGGGACGCTATCTAATATAATTTATCACAGGTCAACTTACCTCCATTCCTGCAAAGTGCGTTCGATATAGTGAAATCATTCAATGGAGCAAAAAATGCGCGTGTTCTAAGTCCTCGATTCGCACCTCTTCTTCCGGACAGAACTAGCACCAAAGGCTTTCTGTCACCTTCGATATTTCCGTTCTACAAGGATGACACGGAACAGCAGATCTTGCCAGTCCCGAAGGTGAAAAGATTTTAGGAATCAAGGTTAATCTAAACAAAGGTGATTGCAGATGTTGGAGTCAGCTGGTATGAACGGCAAAGACCGCGAACGTTTACTAGAAATGATAATGGAGGTGTCAGGAGCGCGTGACACCGTGGATAAAGCGATGAAGGCAAGCTAATTGTTTTAGGGGCAATTAATGTATTTTATGCTGTTACAGGATGTGTTTTCAGCTACTTTAGGTATTGAAACACCTGGGCCTTGATGACACGCTTCTCTCGATAAACGAAAATGTGAGTTGAAGTTTCCCTTTTCGATTTACTATCTTTACGGTGAGTGTAAGTTACGCAAGCGTTGCGCGACAGGCTGGCTGTAACCGCCGCGTGGAGAACTCGGCTACTAAAACTTGCAAAGTATTTCTCCACCATTTGTTAGGTTTTTCAGTACGCGCCAAAGGAAGCCCTTGCTTTCTAGTAGGCTGTCGATCATGAATAAGGATTAGAATGAAGGGAAAATGCTACACGGGTAACTAAGATACAGGAAATAAATTAGTAATCTAATGTTACTGAAATTTGGACGAATTATCTGCCCTACTGCTGGGCTGCTGCCCGAGTTACAGTAACGCCGCG